GACATGATGCCCATGGGCTGTGGGGGAGGACACCTCATTGGTTGAGGAGGAAACCTCGCTGGCCAGGAGGACACCTCATTGGCTGAGGGGGACACCTCATTGGCTAGGGAGGGCACCTCATTGGCTAGGGAGGGCACCTCATTGGCTAGGGAGGGCACCTCATTGGCTAGGGAGGGCACCTCATTGGCTAGGGAGGGCACCTTATTGCCAGGGAGGAGACCTCGTCCACTGGGGAGGACACCTCATTGGCCGGGAGGACACCTCATTGGCTGAGGAAGACACCTCATCGGCCAGAGAGGACACCTTGTCGGACAGGGAGGACACCTCGTTGGCTGGGAGGTCATCTCGTCAGCCGGAGAGGACACCTCATTGACCAGAGAGGACATCTCATTGGCCGAGGAAGACACTTCATCAGCTAGGGAGGACACCTCATTGGCCAGGAGGACATTTTGTTAGCCGAGGAACACACTTCATTGGCCGGAGAGGACACCTCATTGGCTGGAGAGAACACCTCACTGTCTGGGAGGACGCCTCATTGGCCAGAGAGAACACCTTGTTGGCTGAGGAGAATACCTCATTGGCCAGTAGGACACCACATTGGCCAAAGTGGGCACCTCGTTGGCTGGAGAGGACACCTCACTGGCTGAGGAAGATACTTCATTGGTCAGAGAGGACACCTCATTGGCTGGGGAGATGCCTTGTTGGCTAGGGTGGACACCTCATTGGCTGGAGAGGACAGCTCATTGGCCAGAGAGGACACCTCATCAGCTGGGAGGACACCTTGTTGGCCAGGGAGAACACCTCGTTGGCTGAGGAGAATACCTCATTGGCCATTGGTAGGACACCTCATTGGCCAAAGTGGGCACCTCGTCGGCTAGAAAGGACACCTCATTGGCTGAGGAGGACACATCATGGGCCAAGAAGGACACATCACTGGCCAGAGAGGACACTTCATTAGCCAGAGAGGATACCTCATTGGCCGGAGAGGACACCTCATTGGCTGGGGTGGACACCTCATTGGCTGGAGAGAACACCTCATTGGCCAGGGTGGACACCTTGTTGGCCAGGGTGGACACCTCGTTGGCCAGGGTGGCCCCAAAGCCACCCGTGGGGCACCTCGGGGCTCCAGCCAGACAGAGCCTCGGCCCTCGGCCCCTGATGAGGGGTCACTCGGCCCAGGAGGCCCCGGGTGGGTGGTCACTCATCCCTCGGCCCCGGGTGAGCGGTCACTCGTCCCTCGGCCCTGGGTGGGCGGTACCTTCTCAATGAGGTCGATGCAGGCCTGCAGGTCCATGCCGAAGTCGATGAACTCCCAGTCGATGCCCTCCTTCTTGTACTCCTCCTGCTCCAGCACGAACATGTGGTGGTTGAAGAACTGCTGCAGCTTCTCATTGGTGAAGTTGATGCACAGCTGCTCGAAGCTGTTGAACTGCGGGGGAGGAGTGGGGT